GTGTCTTCTTCGGTCAGTGACATCTGTCTCCATCTTCGCCTCCCTCATGGCGCTGAGCAGCGACAGCGCCTGGTGCCACTGCCCGTCCTTCATGCAAGTGTGTATCGCCGCGCTGTAGCTGCGACTGCTCGGCTCTACCTTCACGTCTATCCGCCACGGCGCTATGCCGCGACCGGCATTTGCCAGGAGGGGAGGGAGGACGAGGGAGCAGGATGCCTTTCTGGAAGAGATCAGGAGTGCGATCCCCCTTGACCCCCTCGGTTGGGAAATTCCTCCCGAGGCTGCGGAGTTCTTCGGCCCGTTGGACGCCTGCTCTGAGCTTGCACGACGTCACGCCTGAGCGGCCTGGGACCAACAAGGGGGACGGCAAGACGGGGGTCGTATTGATCGATTTTCAGCCCGCGCCTGTCCTTGTCTCTTGCCATCGCTCGGACGTCCATTCCCCGTGCATGTTTCGGTTTCGCGCGCTGATGATTGCAATATGACCCTAAATGCTCGCCGATGGTCCTCACCGACAAACAAGTACAGGCACTGGCCACATGATATGAGCCCCCCCCCTTATGACCGACAACTCACACTCAGAAACAGTCAGGAGGAGGAGGAGGAGGAGGAGAAGGAGGGGAAGAAGGAAGGAGGAGAACCCTACAAAGGACTGCGGAGGAAACAAGGAGGAGGAGGAGGAGGAGGATGAGGAGGAAGAAGGAAGGACGAGGAGGAGGAAGGAAGGAAGGAGGAAGGAGGAGGGGGGAGGAAGGAAGGAGACGCGCGGCGCTGCGGACCCCAAAGGAGGACTCACAACACAGGACTCATGACGCAGAGCTGCTTCCTCCGAAGGGCCCGAGAGCCCGGCGGGGGCACGGGCTCAGTGCCGTGGGACGTGTGGGGTCTCCAGCCTCTTCGCTGCCCATCCTCGTCGCTGCCCCTCTCCTTCCCCATCCCTCTCGCTCTCGCTCGCTCCCTCTGCGTCCCTCTCCTTCCCTCGCCCTCGAGAATCGCACACTACGGATACTGCCCTCCTCTTTCTCCTGACCCTGTCTGGAAAATGTTCGGCCCTCTCCGCGTACTTTTCTTGCACACGAGATGTATCAATCATTCTATTATTTGCAATTGGTTACAATCCGAATGTTTGCCGTGCTTCAGGATGGTGCTCCCGCTGCAGCGTGGCCATCCCTCATTCCCTCCTACCCCCCCTTCCCCTTCGGTGAGAGGGCCGACCCCATGCCCCATCCACCCCTCCAAGGGCGCGATGGCGGCGTCGCGCGGCAGCGCAACTGGAGCATCTTGCCAAGCAGCGACAGGGCGTGCTGCCACTGCCCATGCTTCTCACACGCGCTGATCCCTGCAGTGTAGCTGATCATGTTCGGTTCCACGCTCGCTTCCATGGTGCTGCTCATGCTGAGCAACGACGCTGCCTGCTGCCATTGTCCACCCTTGGCACATGCGTCTATCACGGATGTGTAGAACATGATGTCCAGCTCCAATGTATCGTGCAGCAACTCATCCAGTAAGGACAACGACTGCTGCCATTGACTACTTATTCCACATGCATTAACAGCAACGCAGTAAACAATTACATTGAGCTGCATGCTCGATGCCGACGCATCTCGGAGCAACGTCAATGCCGTGGCCCACTGCTTTGCACGTCCCCGACTCTTGATTGCATCTGCGAGAGAAAGTACTCCTTTTGGATATGCCCCATGGGCCGCCTTCACCGAGAAACGCTCCATGCACTGATTCCTCGAGCACTGAATTGTGTAACGCTGCGAACCAAAAATGCATGGTGTTCTGATTACGTCTGCTGACCCTAACCGCACCTGCAACGATCATAGTGCGCAGACTTTCTCGACTCTACTGCGTCGGAACATTGTGCATGTAACCCTATGCGTCACGAATGCAATACACATGTTGCTGCACATTGATCTAGAACACGAAAGCCGGTTACTTGCCAAATTATCCTTCCTTATGGGCACCGTCGTGATATATCCACATCCTTCTGCCAGCGTGGCCAGTGAACACATGGATGCAGCATGTCATGTGCAAACTTACCTTATCGATCCACCTTGGGGCAGTTCTTCATACGCTGCCCGCGCTGTTGGTTCATATCCCCTTCTGGGGTGCTGCCACACTTGTTCTTAAAGCTTGCTTCGCGCTTCAATTGGAATCGCCTCTGAATTCAAGACGGTCTGTGGAAATGATAACTCATACATGTTTTCTTGCTATTGCCGTACTTCGCCGTAGATTTCTCTACAACTTAGTCGGACCTTCTCGCAACATGAGTCTCATGGACATTGGGGTAGCGAAGCTCCAATCTAATTGTGTACATACGTTGTGCAGTCAATCGAGTCGACCCTAGGTATGAGGAAGGTGACCTCAGCGTCGAGCTGCCTAAGTGTATATGGAAATCGAATAGGGCCCTTGTGGAAACAGGCTCCGGGCCACGGGGAGTTCTTCAAGACAGCCTGTTATTCCGACTCGTTTTCTGATGGCCTGGGTGCCGGGGGATGGCCCTGGGATCCAGAAAACGACAAACCTCCAGGGGCTCTCCTCCAGGGCCCCCTTCTCCTCACGTCGGGGAAGGAGGATCCTCGGGCGCCAGGAGGATCCTCGGGGAAAGCGGATACTCGGGACCAGCCGCGAGGGCCTGGAGGATCTTTGAGCTCCGAGGATCGAAGCAGCCTCCTCCTCATCCTCCTCGATGCCAGGGATGGGCCTTCGGGGTGGCCGTCTGGCCGAGGCGACGAGAAGCCTCTCGGAGGTCAGGAACGACAGCGAAACGACACCCCTGCGGCAGAAGAGCCCCAGGCAACTTTACACAATTGCACGGATGGGGGGCCACGATGGAGGCCACGATCACCGTTTTCGGGGTCAGGCTTGGGTCGGGCCTGTCTTCCTACAGGCGGATGCTCTGCGAAAAATCACAAATATTCAAAAAATACCGAGCAATTATCAAAAGTATTCAAAAAATCGTCCCCATATATTCATGACTATTTTTGAATATTCCCCCTGTAGAGGGACAGGCCCGACTTCAGGTCAGTGGCCAGAGCGCCCTCCCCGGGTGTCAGACGGACAAGCTGTCCTGGGGAGCGCGCGCATGAGAACCCAGTCCTCCGTTTCGCGGTCCTCCAAGCTCGGTCCTCCTCCTCCTCCTCCTCCTCCTCCTCCTCCTTCTCGTCGTCGTCCTCCTCGTCCTCCTCGTCGTCCTCGGCCTCGTCCTCCTCCTCCTCCTCCTCCTCCTCCTCCTCCTCCTCCTCCTCCCTCCTCCTCCTCCTCCTGGTCGGAGCTCCGCCTCCCGGAGGCTGGGCACCAGGTCTCGTGGAGAGTCATGGCGTCCGGGGAAGGGCACAGCAAGTGTGCTTGACGCGACGCGGGCAGGGACAGGCCAGCCTCACGTCAGGCATGACCTCCCACAGGCGGATCTTGGAAGACACAGAAAAAGAACCGAACAACAATTGAAAAACAGAGTCGAAACACCGTCCGCAATGTATGGTTTTGCCTCTGTTTGTTGAATGTTCCTCTTGTGTAGGGACGTGCCCGACATAAGGATGGCCCAACAGTGCTAAGACACGCCCATTTCAGAGGAGTGGCGGCGCCATGTGGCACGGAAGTTCCGTGGGGCCTCGTGCCTACCCCCATAGGGAATCCTCGGGTTCGACCAGAGCTAACCCGATGCCTGGGTGGACCTCGATTGCTCGATGCACGTCGGATGTTCCCCCGCCGGCCTTGCTGCTCATTTGTCGAGCAGGCGGCTGAACACCACACGAGCAAGTGAATCATGCCAGCACAGCCCCCGCAGCAACGGGAGATGCTGTAAGGGGGTCACCAAGCAGGGTAGGGAGTCACTGGCGACACGGCCCCTATCTTACCCGACGCACAACCAACATGCCAATGGGGACAGCGCTTCACCGCCACGTTCTCGCACACTTGGCCATTGGCGCAGCGGGGACTGGCGTCGGTGCCTTTCATGACGAACGCCATCGATCCTCGATCCTCCTCCTCCTCCTCCTCGATCCTCCTCCTCCTCCTCCTCCTCCTCCTCCTCCTCCTCCTCCTCCTCTTGAAAGCTCGACTCTCGAACATCGAAGCCCCTCGCCCTCGAAGCTTGAACCTCGATCCCCGGAGTCCGCTCCTCCTCCTCCTCCTCCTCCTCCTCCTCCTCCTTCTCCTGCTCATCCTGGAAGCTCGATTCTCGAACATCGAAGCCCCTCGCCCTCGAAGCTTGAACCTCGATCTCCGAAATCCCATCCTCCACCTCCTCCTCCTCCTCCTCCTCCTACTCCTCCTCCTCCTCCTCCTCTCCTCCTCCTCCTCCTCTTCCTCCTCCTCCTCCTCTTCCTACTCCTCTCCTCTCCTCCTCCTGGTAGCTCGATTCTCGAACATCGAAGCTCCTCGCCCCCGAAGCTTGAACCTCGATCCCCGACATCCCATCCTCCACCTCCTCCACCTCCTCCTTCTCCTCCTGGAAGTT